TTCCGCAGAGAAGGGGCAGTTTCTACTATCTGCACTTAACACAAGCGTGATGAACCCCAGTCCCCAGGACACTTATCCAGTCCCCACGCCTCCCAGCATCCTGCCCGGCCGACGTGGGGTTTTCTGGATGGTGAAATGGACTCCAAAGTCCCTGCTATTGAGGAGAACTTGCTAGATGACAAGCATTTGCTGAAGCCATGGGATGTGAAGAAGCCGTCCTCATCTTCCTCCAGACCTTGGTCCTGTGAAGTCCCTGGAATTAACATCTTTCTATCTCCGGACCAGCTAGCCTGCCAATGTGCCTATCCTCCCACCTGCCATGAACACAGGGGGCTCCCTATTTGACCTCACCGACCTGTACTTTCCCCCACTGCTGCCCACCCCCCTGGACCCTGAGGAGACAGCCTACCCTAACCTGAGCAGGAGTTGGGGGGAAAACAGTACCTCCAATTTGACCCACACCATGACCCACCTGGGCATCAATGGAGGCCTGGGCCTGGGGCTGGGCTATGATGCACCAGGACTTCATTCACCTCTCAGCCACACATCCCTGTAGTCCTCCCTAAGCAATCCCAGCCTCCAGGCTTCCCTGAGCAGTCCTCAGACCCAGCTCCAGGGCTGCACAGCCATCCCTCCCTGCCCGCCTCCTCCTTGGCCACCATGCACTGCCCACCACCTCCCTGGGTCATCCCTCACTCAGTGCCCCTGCCCTCTCCTCTTCCTCCTCTTCCTCCATTTCATCCCCTGTTCTGGGCACCCCCCTTATCCAGCTTCCACCCCTGTGACCTCTCACCATCACCACCATGTGCCCCTCTTCCCCTTGAGTTTGCCTGTGGGCCCAACCGACGCCAGAAGGTCCCAACAGCAGCTGTCCAAACAGTTTCTGCCAAAAATGTCACCTACCTTGTCTTCCATCACTCAGGGCATCCCCCTGGACACGAGTAAACTGCCCACTGACAAGTGGCTGCCCCCATATCCCTATATGTGCACCCCAGTCTGGTTCTGCCCACCCAGCCACTCACCCCAAAGCCTCTACAGCAGCCAGGCTGCCCTCTCAGGCCTGCTTAGAGCAGCCCTCAGGTGGGCAGCCCCCAGGAAGACAGCCGCATTATGGAACACTATACCCACCTGGGCCCAGTGGGCATGGGCAGAAGTCTCACCACCGGCCAGTGAGTGACTTCAGGTTGGGGAACCTTGAGCAGTTCGGCATGGAGAGCCCATCAGCCAGCCTGGCGCAGGATCCCTCTGGCTTTTCCAAGGGCCTGAATTTTTAGGGGGTGAGGGGCCAGTGGGTGGCCTCCAGGATCCCTACACCCTCAACCACCAGAACTTGACCCACTGTTTCTGCCATGGCTCAGGGCCTAACATCATCCTCACAGGAGACTCCTCTCCAGGTTTCTCTAAGGAGATTGCAGCAGCCCTGGCCGGAGTGCCTGGCTGTGAGGTGTTGGCAGCTGGGCTGGAACTGGGGCTGGTGCTGGAAGATGAGCTTCACATGGAGCCACTGGGCCTGGAAGGGCTAAACACGCTGAGTGACCCCTGTGCCCTGCTGCCTGATCCCGCAGTGGAGGATTCATTCCGCAGTGACCGGCTCCAGTGAGGGGATCTCATCACCATCCCTCTTCTTAGCCCCATCCCCTATCACTATTCCTTTCCTCCCTTCCCCCTGGCCAGTAGAGACTCCACTCTCTGCCCCTAGATCCTCTTTCTAGCATGAACGAAGGATCCTAAGAATGAAAAAAAGCAAGGGGTTTTTCCAGGTGCCCCCTGAATTCTACACAAGGGGTCGGCCCGGGGGAACTCAAGGGAGGATCTAAAGTACTCGTAACTTTGAACCATCTGGAGATCAGAGCCTGTTGGAAAGCAGGGGGCAGAGGGGCACAGAGGGAGGCAGAGGGGGACCCCTGAGGCAGGGCTTGTCTGGATGCCTAGGGGTGGGCAGTGCCAGCCCCTCCTCACCACTCTTCCCCTTGCAATGGAGGAGAGAGCCAGAGTGGATATTATTTTTTTATTAAATATGTTATATATTAATAAAAAAATCTTATCAAAAAAAAGAATCACTGTGAGCATCAGTTTCTTCACCGGCAAAATGGGATAACTACCGTCCTCACCATCCAGGGTTTTGTGAGATTCCAACAAGACAATGCAATTGAAGAGCTCAGCATGGTGCCAGCACCCAGTAGGCGCTCAATAAGTGTTAGTGATTGCTCCTGGGACTTGGCAAGAGACATGCTAGGCAGGAAAAACATGAATTAGAGTAGAGTAGACGCAGGTCAGCTGAGCAGACAGAAGAGCCAAGGCCCCATACAGCAGCCAGAGAGTCCAAGTTGCGCTATGGAAGCAACTGGGAGCCACACACAGTTCTGGAGCTGGGCAGTGACAGGTGGCAGTTGAATGTGGCAACACTGGGCAGGAGGCCTTTGCCAGCAGCAAGTCCCATGTGCTGGAGACTTGGCTGTTTGGCCAGATATAGGCTTGTCAGATTTAGCAAATAAAAATAAAGAACACCAAGTTAAATTTGAATCTGAGATGAATAATGAATAATTTGTTAGTATAAGTATGTCCCAAATATTGCATGGGACACACTTATACTAAAAAACATTTGTTGTGTATCTGAAATTCAAATTTAACTGAGTGTCCTTTATTTTTATTTGCTAAATCTGGCAATCCTAGCCAGACACCAGTTGCCTACCCCCCAACCTCAACCCTGCATGCTGGGGGTAGCATGGATCCACTGCCTCCCTTCCCACCTTCAACAAGGCCACCAGGAATGGTTGAAGAGCTGCTCCTGGAAGCCAGTCTTGCTGTTCATGACAAGCGATCACAGTGGCAAGTCTAGGTGAGCCAGCTCTCCTAACTCATGCCAGGTTCACCCAGCAAGAAAGTAGTGGGGCACAGTAAATAACCACTGGATCTGTGAACTAATGAAGCACATAGGCTACCAAATCCCATAAAGAAGGGAGTGCCACTTGCACTCTTGGATTAATCAAGGAAAAGACAACTACTGGGGGTAAAGGCCCACCCAGTGAATATATCCAGGCAGGGGAAAAGATGGTCTCCACCCTTAACCCCAGAAATGGGCAAACATCAGCACCCATGCTGTTTGCACCCTCAAAGGACATCTCGAGATGGGGATGTAAACTTCGGGTTAGAGAGGGGCTGTCCCTGTGGACAAGTCATACTACCAGAGGGTACCTCTCCCCACCCACCAACACCCACCCCTATAATCACCAAATCCTGGATGATTCATAGCTCTGGAAATAAGCCTGTCAGAAATCCAATTTCTGCAACAACCTTTATATCTACTTTTTTTCTTTTTTGCTCTAACAAGGAATAATGAAAACGATTTGTGCTCCATCTTTAAAAATGTATGATAAACATTACTGAAAGCCTACTGAGCGCGCCCTGTGTTGTGCTCAGCATTTCATTTAGCTTAGTGGTTCTGAGCCTTGCCTGTACATTACAACCACCTGGACAGGTTTTTTAAATCGCAGTACCCTGGGCATCAGTATTTTTCCAGGGCACAGTGATGCCAACATACATCCAAGGTTGGAAACCACTGATTTAGTTTATCCCGTAAATCCTCACAGTAAAATCCTGCCAGGTAGCTTTTAGCACTATTTGCAGATGACACTGAGACTCAAAGAGGTAAATGGACTTTGGCATCTGTTGTCCCAACCTGTGACCTCTCCTTCCTTCCTACTCAGGCTCCCTCGAGGGATTTCCTGATGTTATTTATATACTATGTTCTATTGTATACAAGTCTGCCACCGACATGTTTGTGGGGCGGTGCTGCCCCCTTGACCACCTTGAGGTAGCCCTGCTGCCAAGAGGGCTCTGCTGAGATAGCAGCCAGACACTGCTTTGGTTCAGCACTAATATTAATGCCAAATGACTATTGCTAAAGTGAGAACTGAGGCCAGTCACTTCCCAACAGGTTCTGCCACCTTGGGTCACAGAATAATGGCGCTACTGGCGGCTACCTCTCATTCCCTACCACCCTGTACTTCCTAAGCCCGGCTCTTCCCAGGGCACCTTTGCAGATGCCAGACACGCTCACAGCTTATTGGAGAGGTCTTTGATCCAGGAAAGGCCGCGCACCACGGATCCAAAGGGAAAAGCCATTCCCTGGGCCGGGCCTCGCCCGCATCACACGGCTCATCTTCCAGTCTCGCGCACGCACCTGGGCTCACCTGTCCCCCCCACCCGCGGAGCCGCAGGCAGAGAGGGAGCGCGACTGGGTGAGAAGACTGGTCACCGCCTGCCCTCTGCTGGCCAGTGGTGGTATTGAGCCTGCTGCCGCTCGATCGGTGCGTCGGACGGATGGAATGAAGGAATCCGCATCTATTGAGCGCCTGCTGTATGTCAGGCGCTGTACTGAGCACGGGCGTGTGAGAATGCACATGACCTGCTCTCACGGAGTTCAAATTCAAATGAAGAGGCAGATAGTAATCAAATAGTCATTCAAGCAAATAGGAAAGAACAACTGTGGGCTATGTGAACATATGACACGAAGGACCTGCCCAGTCTTGGAGGCAGGCAGGCAGGGAAAGCTGCCCCCAGGAGGGGCCATTTGGGCGCCAGGCACCTCATAAGGTCATTTCATGTAATTTCGAAAACCTGCAAGGTGACTCTCCCTCTTGACAAAGCAGGAAACGGACTCAGATTTGGAACAGAACTTACCAAGGTCACATGGCGAGCTGGAAGCAAATCCGGGAGGATCGAAGTCGGCCCAATTCCAAAGTCCCTGCTTCTCCGCAGCTCCTGGAGGTAGGGCAGGTGGCCGGCCACCGGAGATATTCCATTTAGCGGCTCTGGGGCGGAGCCTGAGGTCTGGCCCCGCCCCAGCCTCTACAGGTGAAAGGACGCCCTGTGCGTGGGGACCCGGCGGCTCTGGGGGGTGGAGCCAGGGCGGACTGGGGCCTGCAGAGGCCGCACGGGGATCGTGGAAGGGGTGGAGCCAGGATCTCACCACGTTCTAGAGGAGCCGGAAGCGCCAATTGAGTGCAGGCCGAGGACGCTTACCTGTTGAGCCTGTTGCACACAGGTAGAGGCGGCGGCTCCGAGTCCAGGAGGTTCAGTGGGCAGCTCCCCAGGTAGGGCCCAACCTGGGCCGGGAAAGAGACGTCCCTCTCCCTCCCGCCCTGCCATCCAACATTCCTTCCTTCGTGCCGGAATTCCTGAGTCCACCTGTAGCCATCAGATGGGAACGCAGGGGTGGAAGGGCCGGCCTGACTTCATCCTTCTCCCCAGCCGAGTGGCTGCCTGGACACCCAGAGCGTGGAATCCGGAGAGAAGCAGCCAAAACCTCCGGGGGTGGGCGGAGGCTAGCCCAGCTTTTCCCTGGGCTGCCTGTGTGACCTTGGGGAGGACACTCTAGTCCTCAGTTGCAAAACATTGTCTGACCCTTGCCCTGCCTGCCCTGAGACTGGACAGGTCACATGCTGTGGCTGCTGGGGGGCTGGGGTGGCGCCTTCTCTCCACCAGGACAATAGGAACGCTTACCCTCCTAGGCCATGTGGTGCTAGGTGGAGAGCCACACCCTTCCTCCACCCAAATCTGGGAACCCTAGAGGGCTGAGAGCTCAGACCCAGGGCAGCCTGTTCTGGCATCCCTGGGTGGAGTGGTGGGCTAGCCTGGAAGAAGGCCTGTGGATGTCCCCAGAGAGGGGTCTGAGGCTTGGCCAAGGCACCCGTGAGGCCTGCCTGGAGCCCACCTGCTCATTTTGCAAATAGCAGGGCTACCATTGTGCAGGGCCTTGAATGTCAAGTTCAGAAGTCTAAACTCTCAACTGCAGGCAGGTGCAGGGCATCGGAGTCTGACCTGTAGTGTTCTCAGGACCAGCCTGGGTGAGTGGGGCTGCCATGATGCCGAAAAATATGCTGCGGCTGATAGGTGACACATACGGGCACTTATTGCATTCTGGTGCTTCGTGGATATTATCTCATTGCTCACACCTGATGTTATCCCCATTGCAGAGGCTGAACCTGAGCTTCAGAGCAATAAAGTGACTCACCCAGGATCACAGCTAGTAAGTGGCAGAGCAGGGGTCAGAACCCAGACTGTCTGGCGTCCTTTCCTGTAATGTCCTGTGGCCACCCATGATCTGGGCATCTGGTGATAAAGCTGTGACCTAGGACAGCAGGAGCAAGCAGGGGCTGTATGAGCAGGAAATTGGGGGAGAGAATTCAGAGGGCTTGGGACGGAGGGGTACCCATGAGTCCTGAGAAGTGTTCAGCTGCCTGGGGGGAGGATGAAGTGGTTGATGTGAGACATGTTAGTTTGGGGGTGGAGGGTGACATAGGGGAGCTAAGCAGAGCTCTCCCCTGGAGAAGACCAAGGAGGAGGAGCTGGGTCCTGGGGAAAGAAGGTGCCTTCAGGGCTGGGTGCAGACAGAGGGGAGGAGCACAAGGCCAGCCTCACAGGAGGCCCCCAAATGCTGAGCAGGCAGATGCAGGGGCATCCCCTGGTGGAGTGGGGTGGGGGACAGGGAGAGGAAAGAATTCTAGACTCCATGACATTAGAGCTGAGATAGGTCTGGAAAATCGAAGCCTTGTTTCATAGAAGGGGAAACTGAGGCCAGCAAGTTACTTGCCTGAAAATACTCCAGGGTGGCTCCCAGTGGGACCCGGGCTGCCATCTCTGCCATTCCAGCTCTTTCTACTGGATCAGTGATCTCAACTGGGGGCAGTTTTGTCTCCCAGGAGACATTTAACAATGGAGACAATTTGGTTGTCACATCCTGGGGTGGGGAGGTCCTCTGGGTGCCATGTGTGTCTAATAGGCAGAGGCCAGGGGTGCTGCTAAATGTCCTACAGTGCACAGCCCCCACGACAGAGAATTATGTGGCCCTAAATGGCAATAATGATGAAGTTGAGAAACTGCACCAGAGCGTGCTGAGCCTGTCGCCCTCCTCTCCCGCTCCTCCCGCTGGGGAGACCTTTGCCACCACCCCTGCTCTGCCCCTCCCATGCTTGCTTTTTTATTCCTGGAAGCTTCTGGAGTCCTCTGTGGTTTTCCTGGGAACAGGGGTCTAGAGCCCTGCCCACCAAGCGTCTGCTGTTGTCAGTCTGTTTGGTGTTAGGTGGTGCGAAACCCAAGTGGAAATGTTCACCTAGCACGTGGTAGGTGCCTTGCAGATAAACTCTTTGGTGAATTTGAGTGACATGTCAGGGGTCCATTTCCACTTCCAATTTCTTTTTTTTTCAGAGACCTAGTTGATGTTTTATTTATTTATTTATTTTAGTTGTTTTAGACTTCGGCAATTCTAATCGTGCCTTATGCTTGTGAAGCTCTGACACAGACTGAAAGAATCCACTGCTTCATTCGAGGGTGTCCCAGGATGGGCGGGACATTGAGAGATGCCGGAGTGGGGTGCAGGGGGAGGGGGTCTTGTCATTCACGCTCTTCCAAGAGTAGGCTGTGGACTGGCAACATGAGGGGATCCTGTTAAAAGGCAGGCGCTGACTCAGTAGGGCTGAGTTGGGCTCAAGTTTCTCTACGTTTCTAGAATAACAACCTCCCGGGTGATGCTGAGTGTGGCCCATGGACTGTATTTTGAGTGCAAGGCGTTACAGGGTGTGCAGAGGTGGCTGCGGGCCAGCTGCCCTCTCTGCAGACAACTGTGGGGTGGTCTGGGGACCATGGAGTCAGGAGATCTGGATTTCAGTCGTGATTCCCTCTATCCCCTCCCTACACCCCATCTTTGGCCTGTCAGCTTAATAGAGCTTATAAGTCACTTAACCTCGGATGAGTCACTTAGCTTCTTTGAGGGGTGGTCCTGCGTGGCAGGCTGTCCTCCAGGGTCTGAGAGAGGCAAGTGCCCTGAGGAGGTCAGGGCAGGATGGTCTAGGTCTGGCAGCCAGAGGGACAGCAGGCCACTGGCCGGGCCAGCAGGGCAGGGGTGACGAGCTGAAGCTGATGGGGCGGGCACCATGCCAGCTTGGAAGCAGCTCTCATTACAGCCCTGGCCTTTCCCCCGAGGCTGCCGCGGCCTGCTGCGTCTGGCTCTGCCTGGTGTGGGATAGCTGGAGGGACCAGTCCGGCTGGGGGAAGGAGCAGTTTCAGGGGGCCAGACCAAGGCCTCTGAGGAGTGGGGTCAGGGCTAAGAACTGTGGCTGGAGACTCTGAGGTCAGACTCTGAGCCACCAACAGGCTTCCCAGCAGGGACACTGGGAAGAAGTTGGGGTTTGGTGCCTTAAGTCCACAGCTATAGGGGATGCCTTGCCCCTGCATCTGACCCCAGGAATAGGGCTGAGCAGAGCCTTAGGTCCCTAGGGTGCTCCCACCCCTGGCCCCCCATAAATCAGCCACAATGGCCCATCAAGGTCCCTTGCCACTCCTAAAACCAGGAGGCAGCAAAACAGCTGAACCTATCTCTCAGGTGGAAAAACAGAGACCCTCTCCTCCCCACTTCCTGGTAAGAGAAGATCACCTATTAGGGCTGCTGGGCCCCGGGCCTACCCCGCTTGGCCACCCTCTCCTGTTTCCACAGTTGAGCCATCCCAGTGGTTCACACCAAGAGTTCTGGGTGTGAGCCACACAGACCTGGGTTCAAATCCCAGGTCCTCTCCTTAATAGTTGAGAGACCCTGGGCAAGTCGCTCCACCCCTCTGGCTCACCTGTAAACAGGAATAATACCTGCCCAGCCAGCCCCACAGGGTTGTTGTGCAGATGCAATGAGCTGTGCCCGCTGAGCATCATGGTCATTATCGTTAGTCATGGCATTCAGAGTGTCATCTCTCCCTGTGCCCTTATTTCACAGATGTGGAGCTCGGCCCTCGGAGAAGGGAGGTGGCTGCCCAAGGGTCCCGAGGCAGGTCGGCGAGCTGGGGCTAGACCGCGTCTGCAGGCGCACCTCCCCTCCTGCGGCTGCCGCTGCCCCTGCGAGGCACTCGGAGACGTGACGCAAACGTAAGGCTGGGATCCGGGCGATCAGCCGCAGGCGCCTCCCCACCGAGGGAGCTGGGCCGGGCCTGTGCCCACAGCGCTGCCTCCCTCCGCCAGCACCAGCCATGAACTACGTGGGGCAGCTGGCAGAGACGGTGTTCGGGACGGTGAAGGATCTGTACCGCGGCCTGAACCCCGCCACGCTGAGCGGCGGCATCGACGTGCTGGTGGTGCAGCAGGGGGACGGCTCGTTCCGGTGCTCGCCCTTCCACGTGCGCTTTGGCAAGCTGGGTGTGCTGCGGTCTCGCGAGAAGGTGGTGAGTGCTGCGGCCGGCCGAGGGGGCCACTGCAGGGTGGGCTTTTTAAGCCCGGGCAGCCACTGCGGTCCCAGGAGAGGACCGGGGCCTCCCTCTGGTGCGGATCTGCCCTTTGGACAGGCTTCTTTGCGTCTATATTTTCTCTGAAGGTTTTGGGGCTGGTTTGGGGGATTCGATTTGGGAGGGGGTCCCAGTTTCACAGGGAAACAGCCCAGGGACCCCAGCGCTGGGACCATCAGACCTGGCCCCAGCTCACCGAGACCTTTCCTGTGTGTCCTTGGTAAATCACGGCATGTCTCTGAGCCCAGTACCAATGGATACGAACTCACCTGCCTAGGGATGGTGGCGGGAGAAGGAAACAGGACCTGGTGATGCTGTCCCAGGCCCAGATACATGGGTGACACTTAAAGGTCAGGTTCCCTCCCTTAGTAGATCCGAACCGTCTTCGCTGGGCTCAGGCGAACGTGACAGAGATGTTTTTAGCACCGAGGTCTGGTGTGTAAGTGCAGGTTTGGTGGCTCCAAGTCCCCTTCACGTTGAGGCAACTGAACTTTCCAGAACCCTAATAATAAAATGTGACCTGCGGGAGACAGTACACCTGAGCAGTTGAGAGCTTGGGTTGTTGTAGACTCAGACTTTTTGGGTTCAGAGACTCACTTGCTCCGAGGCCACTTCCTTGCAAATAACTTAAACCCCAAGCCTCAGTTTCCTCGTCTGTAAAGTGGGGATAATGATGGGGGCTGCTGCAAGGGGCTGTTGTGGAGATCAAATGAGATCATCTACATACAGCTCTACGAAGTGCCCAGTAAATGGTAATTCTCACCATCGTCCAACAACCTGGGGGCAGCGCTCGGGCAGCAGGGAGCCAGTGGGCTGAAGCCTCCGGGCGTGAGGGCCCGTGGTGGGGACCGTGCGACCCCTGCCCCACCAGTCCCCATTGCAGGTGGACATTGAGATCAACGGGGAGCCTGTGGACTTGCACATGAAGCTGGGGGACAGCGGGGAGGCCTTCTTTGTCCAGGAGCTGGAAAGCGATGAGGTGAGTGCCCCCTCCTCGCCAGCACCTGCCCTGCCTCTTCCCTGGTGCCTCCTCCGGGTGGGGCCTTGGGGTTCGGCCCTGTCCCCGCCCCGTCAGCAGAGGTCTGATGCAGGGGTGAGTTGGGGCTGGCCTCTGGCACTTGCGAGGAAGGCGCCAGGGTACAGGCTGACTCCACTCCCTGGGAAGCTGGGGAAGGTCTCAGAGGGGAGACCTGAGCTGGGCCCCTGCAGGATGGAAAGGAGCCCTTCCCAGGCAGGGCAGCCGGGAGAGGAAGGCACCAAAGAAGGGTTGGGAAGTGTGAGGTCTGGCTTGTCCAGGGTCTGGTGCCGGCTCCTGCCGCTAGAACCTAGAAGCATGAATGGGGGTGAGGAGAGGGAGGGCCCCACACATGCCAACAGAGGAGCTGCAATTATTTGAACTTGGCAAACTCGAATCGAGCCCCTGCTATATGCCAGACACTGTGCAGCAGCCTTGGATGAGGGGCGACCCCTGACTTCAAAGCAAGTTCCAGACCTGTCTGTGAGACAGACACGTAAACAATGGATGATGGAACTTCCTTGTTATTGCCGTGAAGGAGGTGGGAGCTTGGGTGAGGGATAGTCAAGGCACCTTCCGGGAGGAGGTGACATCTGGCTGAGTCTTAGCGGAGATGAGAGGCTAACATCAAGGTTTCTGCCTGGCCTGTGGGGTGGTGGGTCGTTCCCTGGGATTGGGGCCGCTTTGTCTCTGTTGGGGAGCTCTGGGCTCAGCAGCGGCTGCAGGGCCATGCTGCTGCCACCTCTGTCCAACCTCCACGCCTGTTTCCCTGACCCCAAATGCGCACACTCCAGGGCCCTGGTCTGCTCCACAGGAACACGTGCCTCCCCGCCTGTGCACCTCCCCCATCCCGTGGGGGGGCCTGTCTGGCTTCCCCTCGGACTCCCAGCAGGGCACAGCCAGCAAGCCTGAGGGCCCCGTCATCATGGGCATGGCCTCCATGGGGCGGAGGAAGAGGCGTCGGAGGAGGAAACCCAGGCGGAAGGAGGATGAGGTGGCAACTGATTCTAGTTCAGAGGAACTGGAGACAGGCCCTGAGAGCGAGCTGTCCCTGCTGGAGAAGCCAAGGCCAGAGTCCTCAGGGTGTGTAGGGACCAGGAGGGTGTTGAGGGTGTGGGGACACCTACCCGGGATTCAAGCACTGTTTCCTATGCTGATGCTGTGTGACTTTGGGCAAGGGCCTTGACCTCTCTGGGCTTTCATTGTTTCACCTCCTCAAGCCCCTGACGTCTGGGCTCCTGTGCCCTACCTGGGGTCTTCTGCCCTGTCAGTGACCATTTCCCTGTGGCCCCTCAACAGTGTCCAGTTGGAAGGGGAGTCCTCACCACAGCCCAAAGACATCTACCCCTACTCCGATGGCGACTGCTCCCCTGAGGCCAGGTGAGAGTCCAGCTGGCCTGCAGGCCCAGATCAAGGTCTCAGAGTGGTTTCAATCTACATTTTTCTGATGACTAATGACACAGATCACATCCGGTGTATCGACCAGGCATTTGTATCTGTCCTTTGTAAAGTGTTCGGGTATTTTGCCCATTTTTTTCTACTTTGGTAAAATACATAGAGCATAAATCTACCAGTTTAACCATTTCAAAGTGTACAATTCAGTGGCAATAAGTACATTCATGATGTTGAGCGACCAGCACTATTATCTAGTTCCAGAACATTCCATTCCCCCAAATGGAAACCCTGTGCCTGTTAAGCAGTCATAACCTCACCCTTCCTTTTTTTAAACTGGACTGTCTTCCTCTTGTGGATTTGTATGAATTCTTTATATATTTACATATTCTTGGTATCTTTACGTAGTCTTTACATATTCTGTATTCAACGCAGGCATAAATATGGGTTGCAAATATTTTTCCCTCCGGCTGGGGTGGGCGGCAGGAGGTGGCAGGCTGGCTTGGGGCCTCTGGGTACTGTTTCCTGCAGCCTCTTGGCAGGTGAGCTGACATCCCCTAAGAGCGACTCAGAGCTGGAGCTGCGGGCCCCGGAGCCCAGTCCCCTGAAAGTGGAGTCCCACATGCAGTGGGCCTGGGGGAGGCTGCCCAAGGTGAGTTCCTCTGTGTCAACCCCAGTCTCTGCCTTTCACGGGCTCCACGGCCCCTGTGGGCCAGGATTGGAGTGGCTGAGACTCGGGCGCTTCCCCTGAGGCTCTGTGGGGGTGGAAGGCAGGCCCCGCATTGGCCCACGTCCTCCCCTGTTTGTTTGACTGAAGGTGGCCAAAGCTGAGCAGCCCGAGTCCTCGACGGTCCCTGAAGGCAGCGTGGGGGCAACCTCTCCTCGTCGGGGAGGACCCAGCACACCCTCCACCTCTGTGGCTGGCACGGACCCTTCTTGCCCCCCAGTCCTGGTAGCAGGGGCTGGCGCTGACCTGCTTCAGTCTGACACGGAGGATCCTGCTCTGGTGGGTCCCCCTCTCCACACTCCAAAGAGCGAGGAAGCCAAGACTCAGAGCTGCAGGGATGCAGACCTCCCTCCTGCCTCCAAGTCCTGGAGCTGGGCCACCCTGGAGGGCCCAGTTCCCAGCGGGCGACCAGAGGGGGCCTCCAGGGGCCAAGGTGAGTGACAGCTGGACCCCTCCCACTGCTTCCCTGGCCTTACCTTACCCCCTGGGTGGGCTCTGGGATTTTAGGTACATCTTGGGCACCTACCGTATGCCCGGCACTGTGCTTGGCACCAGCGCTCTTGGGGCTCATAGTCTGGTGGGGGGACTGATGACGCACGCATGAATGGGAGGGACATGCCACAGGCAATGCGGGACAGGGCCACGGGTTGGGACGGGGGGCTGCTTAAATCACATGATCAGGGAAGTCCTCTGAGACATGGACAATAACGACCCAGCCATGTAAGGAGCAAGGAAAGAGGATTCTAGGCCGAGGGAGCAGCATGTGCCTGCACTGCAGGTTGGGGAGAGGTGACACCGAGGGCAGCTGGCGTGTGTCTCGAGCAAGGAGGGGGACAGGAAGCCGTGGAGACGAGTAGAGCCGGGTCATTCCAGCTCACAAGCACTGGGCCCGCGCTGTACATTTGGTAGCCACTGGCTGTATGTGGCCATTTAAAATGAAATTATTAATAACGGAAATTAAACACAATGTAAAATTCTGTTTCTCCATCACACTGATCACATTTTACGTGTGCTCATAGCCACCTGTGACTGGCAGCTACCGTGTTGGACAGTGCAGACACAGAACATTTCTACTGTCACAGAAAGTTCTGCAGTGAACTTTGGCATTCAAAGGCAGGGCCATCTACTGCCCACACTGCCCAGCACATGTTAGGTCTATCTATAGGTGTCCCCTCCTCCCCCTCAGGCTCCCTGAAGAGAAGCCAGCACCTGGGCCCCAGTGACATCTACCTGGATGACCTGCCCTCCCTGGACTCTGAGAACGCAGCACTTTACTTCCCCCAGAGGTGCCTCGGTTCTGGGTGCCAGACTGTTTTGGGTCAGGGCCTGTGGGACCAGGGGTCCAGTATCAAGGGCCTGGGAGGAGGGGGACCCACCTCCTACGCTCCTTGTGTTCATGTCACTCTTGGCCCCTTCGTCCCCAGTGACTATGGGCTGGGGGCCAGAAGGTGGAGTGAACCCAGCACCCAGAAGCCCCTGGGGGACCCCAACCCAGAACACGTGCCAGAACCCACTCTGGACACAGCGGACACCATAGCACTCTCCCTCTGTGGTGGACTGGCCGACAGCCGGGACATCTCCTTGGGTATGTTGGACCATGCCCGAGCCCTTCCAAGGATTGATGCAGAGCCCAGGGGCTGCGGAGGTGTGAGGCTGGGCTTCCCTACAGCTCTCTGCCCCGTGGAGCCCACACTCTGCTGGCAGGAAGGGCTGGCCATTCCCAACTCCGCGTGAGGCAAAAGCTTGACACCGAGTTGTGACTCATTGTAAATCCTGGGGTGGGAACAGGTGCAAAACCACAGGTAGGGAGGAGCCCTGCTGGGCCAGCAGGAGGCGAGTGGCAGAGTGTGGGGGCCCCGAGGAGCTGGGGCAGCAGGTCACGTGGGCTGTGCCAGCCTCACCCTTCACTCTCTGCTTCTCTGCCCAGGGAAGTTCAACCAGCACATCGTCTCCTACCAGGACCTCACCAAAAACCCCAGTCTCCTGGAGGACCCGAACCTAGTGGTGAAAATCGACGGGAAGTACGTCCCAGGGCTGGGGCTGCTGGCTCGAGGGACGTCACGTGCTCCGTGACCTTGTGGCTGCTGCAGCCCCAACACCTTATTCTGTCTTCCCAGGCATTATAACTGGGCTGTGGCCGCTCCCATGATCCTCTCCCTGCAAGCCTTCCAGAAAAACTTGCCCAAGGTAATGGGGGTTAGAAACCACTGGGTCACCCCCCTGCTTGGCTCGCCTCACCTTACCCAGAACGACCCACCATGTGAGGCCCCCGAGACCCCTCCCCCACCAGCCTGTTCCCAGCTTGAGTTGGCTCCGTGGCGTGTCCACCCTGGGCCCAGGTCCTCCTAACTTGGGTTCTCCCTTCTGCGTCTATAGGAGGCTGGTGTCTCCCAGATGGGCCTTGGCCTGGGCTCTCCCTGAGGGCATCAAGCATAAATCAAATCAGCATTCTTCCCAAGGCCATGTTGCTCCAACCAGACAGTGATGGTGACATACAGAGAGGGAGGCTGTCCATGGGATAGGATCACTGACCCAAGAGGGTTGCCTGTGCCGGTCCTGGAGGTTAAGGGGAGGACCGGCTACAGATTGTTCTTCTTGCTGCCACTTGGTAGCAGGGAGCACCAGATCTCGAGACACTCCCAAGGCACTACCTTCCACTATTCTACCAGGGGACTGACCCACAAGATTTGGAGGCCAGGCTGAGGCTAGGCCGGAGCTAGGGGGCAGGGCTGGGGTGGGGCTGGGGGCAGGAATGGCCCGTGGTCTCTCATGCACAGCTGCCTGAGTCACTGTGTAGAGTCCCAGGCGAGTGTGCTTCCTCGGCCTCCAGATGTTGACAGCACCTTGCTCTAGGGTTGGCCCAGATTCGGGGTTTGTGGGGGCCCCAAGGGCAATGTCAGGTAGGAGGTTTGTGTGGTGCAGGGAAAAATGCCGTGGTCTTCACCTGCCCACAGAGCACCGTGGACAAGCTGGAGAAGGAGAAGATGCCCCGGAAGAGTGGGCGATGGTGGTTTTCCTGGCGACGCAGGGACTTCCCGGCTGAGGAGGTGGGTGGTCGTGGTGGCGGGGTGGGGCCAGCACAGGGCAGGAGCAGGGTACACTGGGTGGATGTTCTTTCCACAGCACGGTGCCCAGAGGGAGAAAACCACCGCCAGGGAGCAACAGGGGTGAGTGGGACCCCTGGCTGGGGAAGCTGCCCTGGGGGCGGGGTGGACCCAGTACCCTGTCCCCAATCATGGTTCTTGGTCACTCCCCAAATGCTCCTACACACACCCCTTCTTTTTCATGAGAAATGCCCCCATTTCACAGAGGGAGAACTGAGACCTAGAGACACCAAATGTCCCACAGGCAGGAGATGGCAGAGCCGGAACAGGTGCTCAGACTCCTGGCCCAGACTAGGGGCCACCTAAGGGGGTGGGGGCCTCTCTCCCCCAGCCCACAGGGGCTGCTGACTTGATTTCCTCTTTTCACCTGTGAAGTGACCCAGACACACAAGGTTGGGGGGAGGGTGACCAAGGATGGCATCGCGCGTAAGGCCCGAGGTGCGCTTGCAGGTAAACATCTCCAAGGCAGGCACTGAGGGCTGGCAGCCCTGGGTCTCGGCCCCCTCTGCTGTCACCTGGCTGGTTGGAGACTGCCAGCCAGCACCCCTGTGTCTGCCACCACCCTATGTGGGTGGCACCTAGAGGGAGGGGTCGCTGATACCCTGGGTAGCCTCTGGAGTGACAGGGACAGGCCCCCATGGCCTGGGCAGCCACTGGGAGTGAAGGACCTTGGGCCGGGGAAGGCAGTCTCAGAGCCAGCGCCGCCCACAGGGAGAAGACCGAAGTCCTGAGTAGTGATGACGACGGCCCAGATAGCCCTGTGATCCTCGAGGTCCCCTCCCCGCCACCCTCAACGCCAGCCTACACTCCTGCCTACAAGAAGTCCCTCCGCCTCTCCTCCGATCAGATCGTAAGCGTATGCACTTGTGTGTTCATGTGTATGTAGAGGGTGCTGAGCTAATCCTGTCCCAGAGTCCCTCAGGGCCGGCAGAGAAAGGCTCCATGTGTTCACCAAAGGCCAGAATCCACCCCTCGGCAGCCTCCCTGATGGCCTCTTTTTGAATGCCTCCAGGGGCTGGGGACTCACTTCCTCACATGCCAGCCCACTTGTCTGTCGGATGTCCTAACTGGAAAAGCCCTCTCTTAGGTCCTCCTGAGATAGCTACCTGCAGTGACCCAGCTGGCTCCTGGTCTGCCCTTAGAAGCCACACTAGAGGAATCAAATGCTGATGATGGCCCCTCAGATTTTGGCAAGCCTGGGCCCTGAGTCATGTTTTCTCTAAGCTCAGTCACTGGTGGCTCCTGTAATGAGAGCATGTTTCTACCTGAGGGTGGCTCCATGGTCAGGGAGGTGTCCAGGAGGGTCTGCCCAGCCTGGTACAGAGCAGTGCCACCTGTCTGGCACCCTGGGGCTCACACACAGCTCAGGGCTTGGGTGCAAGGCTGCCCCAATCCCCTGTGGACCACGTGCAGGGCTGGGTGTCTCTCCAGGGGAACGTGAGTCAGCTACCCTAGCCACAGAGCCCCATCTGTGGAGTGGGGTGTCCCCCCTTGAGAAACCTGAGCAGGGAGTCACGGGCCTGGCTTCGTCTGAGTTTCATCTCAAAGAGGAGTGCAGAGAGGCCAGGACTCCTGTGGCCGGCACCGTGCAGGGCCCCAGCCAGCATGGCCACCCTCTGGCCGGATGTGTCTGTGTGTGGCTGTCTCTGATGAATTCAGGAAGGGTCTCTGAGCTGGGAGGACCAGGAGAATGAGGGGCCTGTGGGGGTCAAAGACCACAGTGTGGGTGAGGGTGGGCGGTGTCTGGCTGCAGTGGATTGCAACAACCCTCTTTGCCTGGCCCCAGCGGTGCCTGAACCTGCAAGAAGGTGCCAATGATGTGGTCTTCAGTGTGACCACCCAATACCAGGGCACCTGCCGCTGCAAGGCCACCATCTACCTGTGGAAATGGGACGACAAGGTGGTCATCTCTGACATCGATGGCACCATCACCAAGTGAGGCCCCAGCTGGCCACAGCAAGGGTGGGCGGGCCTGGGACTTGCCTCCCTCCATCCTGGGAGCCTGGGGGGTACCGTAAGAGAGGCCCTGCTTTCCCCATGGACCACCTGAGGCTGGGGGCTGGGCCATATGGGGCTGCCTGAGTGACCCTTCCTCTCTGGCTTTAGGTCAGATGCTCTGGGCCACATTCTGCCCCAGCTGGGGAAAGACTGGACACACCAAGGCATCACCAGTCTCTACCACAAAATCCACCTGTGAGTGCCTGGGCTGGGCTGAGGCAGGACGCCCAGTTGGAGAGAGGGAGTGATGGGACAGGATACCTTGGGGACCAGCAGGACCCACAAAGGAAGCAGCCCGGGCAGATCCCTGCACTGCTGAGACCTCCGTACTGGTCTTTGGTTCTGTGAAAACACATGCCCTGGGGTTGTGTTCCAGGATCAGGCTCCACCTGCAGGCCTCAGGCTGGAGGGGAGGCCATCCTCCCTCCTGGTCCTCCCAGGCCTCAAGGCTCTGTCCATGCTCCTTCTAGGTGGGACAGCTGCCAAGGCCACCTCTGTTAGGCCTGGCCTATCCATTTTCCTAAGTCCTCTCCCTGCAAAGGTTTGAAGACCAGAGCCCCAGAGTTGGGCTGGACAGGCCGAAGCCAACGGAGCGGATGGGAGATGGCTGGTCTCTGATGGTTCTGTGCCATCCTGTCTCTCATCCCCAGAAATGGGTACAAGTTCCTATACTGCTCAGCCCGGGCCATCGGCATGGCTGACCTCACCAAGGGGTACCTGCAGTGGGTGAGTGAGGGGGGCTGTGGCCTCCCCAAGGGCCCCATCCTGCTGTCTCCCACCAGCCTCTTCTCCGCCCTCCACAGGTAACCACCCCTCCACAACACAAGCCCATGGCCCCTTGGGCGGGGCGGTGGGAGGGCTGCCACCATCCCAGACCAGGCCACCATTAGCATCCAGGTGGCAGCTGGTGGCGGGGTCAGACCCCACATCACTGGAGCCTGCTATCCCCTCTGGCTTCTTCCCCTCCTTGGCCCTTTCCCTGCTGTGGCCCTGGCCACTCCAGAGAAGTGATTGAGAAGAAGCCGGAGGTGTTCAAGATCGCCTGCCTGAGTGACATCCAGCAGCTGTTTCTGCCCCACAGACAGCCCTTCTACGCTGCCTTCGGGAACAGGCCCAATGTGAGTGTGTCCCTGCCCATGGGCTGAGCCACCTCCTCCCAGCGGGCCTCTGTTCCACGCACCCCCTCATCTCCCACAGGATGTCTTTGCCTACCGGCAGGTGGGCCTACCTGAATCTCGCATCTTCACGGTCAACCCCCGGGGAGAGCTCATCCAGGAGCTCATGAAGAACCACAAATCCACGTGAGGCCACACTCTGCCACGTCCCGTGCCTTGGCCTCTCCCTGGGCCCCAATTTTACCTCCCCACCTGCGTGTCTGTCCCTTGGCCAGGGCTCCCGGGCAGGATGTAGACACCCCTACCTGATGTGGCGGAGGCCGTGGTCTGGTGGCAGCTCAGGCTGAGAGCCAGCCCTGTTCCGCCCACAGGTATGAGCGGCTTGGTGAGGTGGTTGAGCTCCTCTTCCCTCCTGTGGCCCGTGGCCCAAGCGCAGACCTGGCCAACCCTGAATACAGCAACTTCTGCTACTGGCGGGAGCCGCTGCCCACGGTGGATCTTGACACGCTGGCCTGAACCTGCCCTGGCTGCCCCTTCCTCCCTGGCCCGGCCCAGGACTGACGAGGTGTCCTGGGGCACAGGGGGACAACCTACTGAAGAGGAGGAAGGGGCTGCAGGTTGATGGGTAGCCACAGACCTTCCATCCTCCCTGTCCTGTCTCTGCCAGCTGAGCTGCAGCTACTCCAGGGCCTCAGTGTGGCCTTCGCCTGGAGCGATGACATGTTTGTCATCTGGGCCCTTTCAGGGATTTCTATGCTCTTGATAGTTCTGTCCCTGTCAACCTGGAACCTTGCCTCAACTCCTGATGGGACAGAGAGGAGAGGGAGGCCTGACTGAGGCATGAAGCCCGTATGCACAGGGCAGTGTTGGTGGTGGCAGTCGGGGGTAGCTGAGTAGCATCTTGAAAGAACATGGTGCTCCCCTGCTCCTCTGCTGGGAGCCAGACTGCGCCCCACACCCCACAAAGCCAGACATCTCTGCTGGAGCATCTGCTCGCTGGTGCCCTGGCATCTCAGCACATGACACGCACTCATGCCTGGGTGCCCCCGGCCCCCGCCAACATCAGGGAAGGGGGGATTCGGGGCCATGTGAGGGCTGGGGGAGTGTGGCTCTGCTCAGCTTAGCCCCCATGCCAGCACCTCCCCTGCAGACTGGACTCTAAACACAGCCTCCCCTAGCCTCGGCTGGTCCACTTGGTGCTCACGGCCGTTGCCTGAGCTCTTGCCTGAGGAGCTGTGGGGAGCAGGCTAACGCCCTGCGGCCTTCCCTCCCACTGCCTTTGGTGAAGAAGGTTCCTTTAGACTGGCTAAAAGCTTTAATCCAGAGCCTGCCCTCCGCCAGCAGCACCACATGGAGGGCAGAATACCCAATGTCCGGAAAGCAGAAGGCAGGGCTGCGGGCCCTACAGACCAGCACTGCAGGTGCCCGTGCTGCCGTGGGGGAAACTGAGGCTGGGAGCCCCAGCCGAGTTGGGCATCAGAGTCTCTGGGAGCTTCCCAGGCCTGAGGAACACTTGCATTTTCAAGTTTTCCCTTGATTTCATACCTGAATTTCTCACCTTTCGTGAACATCCTGGCAGGGCTGGGGTTTTGCAAGGGTGTTAAAAGCAAGGTCTGGACCCCTTTCCCTCCAGCTATGGGCTCCTTATCAGGGTCTGGCCTCATTCAGGCCCCGGCAGACACTAGGGCCACCCTCTGGAGAGAGGCCCCGATCTGGAAGGAAGAAGGCTATGTGGGCACCAGAAGGCCCTGGAAACATCTTTGGGGAAGGAAAAGGAGAAAATGGTGTGGGTTCTCCAAACAGATGGCCTGGATCCAATTCCTTCCTCTGGGATTCTACAGCTGCCTAAGCCCTCACCCTAGGGGGAGGTGGGGGGGATCAAAAAGAATAAAGGGAACTCTTGGGTGAGTCCTTGTGCTTCTGTGCTGAAGGGTATGTGGGGAGCTGGAAATATCTGGCAGCCTCTGGTCCATGGCTTAGAAACAGTATCTGGGAAGCTGGCAGGTGTGAGGGCAGTTCCAGCGGGCATCGCCGGCCTGCAGAAACCCAGCCCAGATGGCTGGGGAGAGAAGCCTTCAGGGGCTGCAGACTGTCGCTCACGGGCAAAGGGCAGTATGGCCGGGCCACTGAGAACGGGCCTGGAGGTCTTTGCACAGTTGCTGACTCTGGTTTGCAGACAGTGGCATGTGAGGGCTCTTAAGTCCACCCTGGCCTTTGGGCATGATGTCCCTGCCTTGACCACTCTCCTGAATTGTCCAGTTTGTGCAGCACTGAGCATGGATTTTGGTGGCTGGGACAGCCATGTGGAGGTGGACTGAGCCCATTCTTTCCATGGCCTCTGCAGTGGCATCTGGGCTGGCCAGGGGAAGCTGGGAGGCACGACTGCACAAGGCTGGGCTCTGGGGTGATGCTCCCTGGGTTGTGGGATCTGGGGGTTGGAACCCTGCCAGCCTCCCTAGTCGGCTCGCCCTGGCCGTGCCTGCTCAGCCAGTTGGGCCCGGCAGTCCAGCAGGTCATCTCGGAGGCGGGCAATGTCCTGTGTGTGCTGGGCCAGTGTGCGATTCAGCTGGTCCATGTGGCCCCACAGGCCCTCCCTGGGCCAGCTGTCAAGGCCTGCGGCCAGCACGCCCAGCCTCCTACAGGCAACCTCCACTTGTGCCACCCGCTGGTCAAAGTGGCCCACTGCGTGCTGGAGTTCCTGGGCTGTGTCCTGGCAGCGGCTGAGGCCGCTGGCCACCTTGGCCACACCAGCCTTCAGTTGTTCCAGCTCACCCTGCAGGTTCAGGACCTGCCTGTGGCCAGCCTGGAGCCTGGAGCCTTGGCTGCTGACCTCCTCCTGGATGGCGTGGACTTCGGCTTCCACCTTGCGTTCTCGCTCGTCCAGGGACGTGTTGGCAGCCGAGAAGGCGTCAGAGTACTGGCTGACAGAGTCACTGAGGCCCGTGAGCGACTTGCTCACTGAGTTCAGGTTGACCTTCAGCAGAGTGATCTCGCCTTGGAGTGAGCTGCCCGTCCCTTCTGCCAGCTGCCCCTGGACCTCGGCCACGGTGCCATTGAGCTGCTGGAGCAGAGCTGCGTGGCTGGCCACCTGGCGTAGGAGGGCCTCGCTCCGGCTCTGCCAGGCCTTCACCTCTGCCACGAGGTTGTCCAGGATGGCTGAGGTGGTGCTGGGGATGCATGAGGTCTCCAGCGAGACCAGCCGTTGCTCCAGCACGGCCAGCTCCGTCTGCACAAGGGGCCGTGCTGACCTGCCCGGTGGAGCGCTGTCTTGGCTTAGCTCCCCAGCCAGTGTTGCCAGGCGCTCCTCGAGGCTCTGCATGCGCTCTTCCAGCATGTTCCTGAAGCCGCCCATCCCCCAGCCCCCCATCTCCATCCTCAGGCAGCAGCCCCTCGCTCCACTCTCCGTCCCATTGAGCATCTTCAGGCCCTCGAGTAGCCCATCCACATCTCCCTCGAGCATGGCGGCAGAGAGTCGTGTGAGCTCATCCCCAGCCGGGCCTCCTGGGGCCTTTTGGGTCTCAGTGACTGCCTGCAGGGTCCTCTCAAGGCTATCCACACGGGCACTGATCACTGCCAGCTGGCCGCAGCAGCTGCCCCCGCCCGCTGCGCTCAGGCCCTGCAGCTGGCTGCCCAGCTGGGAGAGCTCCCGGCGCAGGGCCAGCTCCCGGCCATCGAGGCTCTGGTGCAGCCTCCGGCTGGCTACCTGGCCCTCCTCGCACTGCCGCCGCACCTCCTGCACCCGCAGGTCGCACGCACTCTGGACACCTTGCAGCTTCTGCTCGAAGCCGTCCAGCAGGCTTCCCCAGAGGCGGTGCAGCCGTCGGTCCACGTACTCCTCCAACAGTGCTAGGGAGGTGAGTGGGGATGGCGGGGCCTCCCGCAGCTGCTGCAGGTGGGCCTCGTGGCCCAGTGCCAGCCCGTGCACCTCATCCAGCAGCTGCACCTTGGTCTGCAGTGTGTTGCTCACTTCTGTCACCTTGGTCAGGATCTCGTCAAGGGGAGGTGTGGGTGGCCCTCTGGCTCTCTCTCCTGGATCCACAAGCCCCTCAGGGATGATCCCGAAGCCCACAGGGGCAGCAGGAGCCCTGGGACCACCATTCACCTTGTTGGGGTCCTCCTGGCTGGCCACCATGCCACTGAGGGTACCATATGTTTGTGCCAGGCGCTGGACATCACCCTCCAGGCGTTCTAGCCGCTTGCCAAACAGCCCTGGACCTTTCCTTCCTGGGAAAGAGAAGAGAACCCCAGGGGCATCACTGGCTAGTCCCTCTCAGCTTGTCTTATTGCTGGGCCACCTAAGAGATTTTCTGTTCTAAGCTTATAACCCTCAGCTTTGTGCGGGGGTTAGGGGGAGCTAGGGGTTCACCCTCATGCCTAGTGTGAGATGCACCCTCCCCATCCCTGCCAGAGCTCAGCCAGCCTGGGCCAGTCCCCTCCCTGTCCCCACCACTGAGCCCAAGAAACCTGATTACCTTAGAAGGTGTCCATGGGCAGACTCACCGTGAGGGCTGGGGGCTGCTCTGCTGTAAGGAGGGGGCCTGATGCCTGGGCCCAGCTGCCCCGAGGGAATCTGGGGCTCAGGCTCCAGCCGGGGTGGGGCAGCCCCATGGTCCGTAAGGTGCTCAGGGCAGCGTTCCCCAGTGAGGCCAGGGCAGCAACGCCAGGCGAGGTCTGTCACTGTCTTGTATCCAACCTTGTATTTGGGTCTGAGCACAGTGCGGTACCTGGGCCAGGGAGGGCAAGATGGCAGGGTCCTGTACTTGTGGGCTGCAGCTCCCGCCCCTAGCTGGCATTTCCGGCCACCCCCAGACACTTGCATAAGGTCTGGCTGTCTCCCCAGCTTCACGCCACCTGCAGGGCTTTCCTTTTTCTGTGCTGAAGGTGACAGGGCAGTGGTGGTGTGGGCAGCCTTCCTGGGGCTCAGAGCCATGTTAGGGGAGGATACAGGTTGGAACCCCACCCTATCCTGTCAGCTTGGTGAGCAGGAAGGATTTTGCTCCAACACTCCCAAGACCACCTGGACCCCATTTAGTTCATGCTGCCATGAGAAATTCCACCGGGGCTTCCATGGCACCTCGGAGAGCTCAGCCCCAGCCCCTCCCCTAAGGGTGGGGAGCGGTGCTTCCCTAAAGCTGGGGCCAGCACCCCCTCTCACTGCCCCTGGGGCCGCTCTTGGCTCCCATCAGCTCCCGTTGGTTCTTTCCACTCCTCTCTCGCCAGCTCACAGAAGCTGGTGGAAGGGCGCCTTTGGTTTTGAGCAGACAAGGGAAGGCCCAGGTATAGGCAGGGCTCACCAGGGCCACTCCCTCTCCTGCTCAGCCACGTGCTATTCACCCACTGAGACACTGGAGCAACCAGGTTTGTATCCAGGCACACACATGGGAACCTCGCCAAGCACGGATCTGCATATCACATCTGTGTGCCACCGCACAGGTCCTCACATGCAGCCCTGTCTGGCTGGCCTAAGCCCTGGCGCTCTGGCTCCCGCCCCCTCACCTCTGGCTCCCTGCTCACCGTCCTCCCTGGGTCTGTGCAGGCCCCTCCCTGGCATCGCCCACCGCCTGGTTGACACTCTCCCCCACCTCTGCCTCTGTCACTTCCTTCTCACCTTGCGCTGCTCCTCCCCTGGAACCTTCCCCTTGTCCCTCTGTGGTTCCTGGGCTCTGACCCAAGCCTGCCCCTGTCTCCACAGGAGATGCTCTGCAGCAAGTTCAAATCCTTGGGGTCCTACCTGGACCCCTTCTTTTGGGGCCCTGGTCCACTCTGGCCTGTGTGGGGGCTCGGGTGAGTTCTTTGGAGTCCAAGGGGCTAATCCTCCCGAGGAGTCCCTCGGGGAGTTGCCTGCTGCTCTCGGCTGAAGGCAGGGCTGGGGCTTGTGTCCACGGAGCCCAAGTGGGTGGGAGGGGAGTACACTCACGTGACTGTCCCGGGGCACTTGGGCCCCCATCCACACTGCCGGTACTCAGCCTTTACGTAGCTCTCTGCTCCCTCCTGTAGGATGCAGGTCACGTTCCTGTGTACCACGTAGGCACAGAGGGCCCTACAGGGGAAAACGGTGTCCCTGGAATATCTAGCCTGAGCCAGGCCCGCTAAAGGTACTGTCCTCTCTCCCCCATTTGTGGGCCTCAGTAGGGGACCAGTCATGTGTTTTCTGTTTGTTCTCCATGTCCCTGGGAGCCAGGGCCCTTGGTCTGGGCTCCAGCCTCACTGGTCTCTCTGATCCCAGTGTCCCTGATGGGTGGCCACTGGGACAAGCACTATACTGAACCAGGAGGCTGACATGGCTGCCCCCCATGCCTGGGAAAGAGACCACACCAGATCCCCGCCCCCCGCAACCCCAAGTGCCTGGCCACACCTCCCATCCTTCTCTGGTTCCAAATGCCTTATCTTGGCATTCAAGGCTTCTGAGATCCCAACTTAGTGACTTCTTTGAGGGCATGCTTCTCATCCATCCTCCCCTGACTGACTCCTGGGGAAATCCATCCCACCTTGCAGTTTTTCAGTCCCTGCCTTTGCTCCTTTCCTCAGCCAGTTCTTGCACCGCCTCCTACAGGAAGCCTGCTCTGATGGTGCCCAAGCCTACCGACTGTGGGCCATGGGCAGGGCACTCTCCTACCATACCTCTGAAATTCAGCTACAGTTCAAATACAGCTAGCACCGCAGGCAGAGCCTCTAACCCACCTAAGGCCAGTTCGCAAGCCACTGCCTACTAAAAACCAGACGCTGAGGCAGAGGCTGGGGCTGCACCCCCGGACAAGCCACAGGGCTAAGGTGGCTGCCTGGCAGCAGATGACCACTGCGACGACGGCTGTTTCGCAACATGGGTCCAGGACCCAGAATCCCCCACCAGCTCTGCAGCCCGGCCACGGCGGGGATTCCAGGGGTTGCTGGGGCCGGGCTGACTGCGGGAGGGTGCACGGCTGCATCTCCTACCTGGCGGGGCAGGGGAGGGACGGGAGGCCCGGCGCAGGGAGCCCGCGTGCTCTGCGCGGACCGCCCTTCCTCCTCTCCCTCCACCTGGTCCGCTGCGTCCGGAGTTTGCTCACAGCGCAGCTGGAAAATGTTACTTCGCTGGAAAGGTTTCCGCGGGCACTGCCAGGATCCCAGCCGCCGCGCCAGGCCCCCTCGGCTTATTTTCCTTCGCCAGCCCCGCAGCCTCCCGGAGCGCTGAGCAACCGCCTGGGCAGGGGCTCGGCCCCGGGCGCCGCCCCCTCCGTGCCGCCGCCTCGGGGGCCCGGGCCTCGACGCCCCCGCCGGGTCGGGCAGGTGGGAGCGGCGGCGCGCCGCGCGGACCCTTCCCTCCCTCTTCCCGCCCGCGCCCTGCCCGCGCTTACTTGTGCGACCCCGGGCGCAGCCGAGGGCGCCATCCCGTCGTGTAGAGACTGTAGCGGGAGGCGCCGGGCGGCGCGGGCCGCGCCAGGAGCGGGGTGCCCTTGGCCTGCGCCCCCGAGAGCAGCGCCGCGACGGCGCACAGCCACAGGGGCAGGCGGCGCCGGCCCATCGCGGCTCCCGCGGCTCCGCCAGGCCCCGCGCGATGCCCCCGCCGGTGTCCACCCGCAGCGCCGCGCCGCCCCCGCCACTCGCCCGCCCGGGTCCCGCCGCCGCCGCTCGCGGCACCCCGAGCTCTCTGGCCCGGTCGCCTGGCGCTTCGCGGCGGCTGCGTCCCGCGGAGTGGCCGGCGCTGCTCGCGGCTGGGGCCGCGGAGGGGAGGCGGGAGGCGGGCTCTGCGCGGATTAGCATAAACTCGGGGCCGCGCCGCTCTCGGCCGCCAGCCCCCCGCCCCAGCTCGGAGCTGACGCCGGGGGGCCGCCTGCGAGCAAGAGGTCACGAGGGAGCTGTCCGGGTGGCAGGGGCGCAGGCCGCCGCGGCCGGGAGGCCCCCAGAACACACCCAGCCACTACTGTAGCCCGCAAGCACCGGGCGGGGAGCAGAGAAGCGGAGCCCCGAGGCGCCTGGGCGCGGGGCTGCCCAGGAGCCGCCCACCCGCGGGATGCGCTGCTCTTAAAAGTCCGTGTGCGCCTGGGAAGTGCAGTCCGGGCCCTGGAGCCGAGAGGATATATTTGGGAGCACCACTTCTGCAGCCCCCTCCTCGGGACAGGTCCTGGCGCTTCCCTGTTGGCTAGCTCTGCCTCCTGGCACCGCCTTTGTCTAGGGGTGCCCAGGACCTCTGATAACTCTGCCGCCCCCTCCCCAGGCGTTTTGACCACTGCACTAACCACTAGTCTGGTGTCCAGGCTGCCCCTCGGGTTCTCTGGAGGGATCGTGTTGTCGCTCTCTTAGGTATGGGCAGCACCGAGACCCGAACGCCCATCATCTCTCCAGCCCAGCCGAGAATGCTCTGCGCTCTTTGTGCAACTAAAGCTCTTAGCCATCCTGGGCCGCTGCTCTGGGTCACTGTTAGCATCTAGTCAAAGACAACCTTTAGGACTTTCTCACCAGGAGCTACAATTAAGCCAGACTTCCTCCGTATGTTGCTTGTGAAGTTGACTCTTGGAACCCAAGAGTTGGCCTTTATAGTCATCCTCATTGAGCATCACCTTGTTAACTTTCTGATCTGCAAAGAGCCTTTTGAATCCTGATTCTGTCATCCAGCAGAGTGGCACTTCCTCCTGATTCTGTCTCATCCACACAGGTGGCTACAGCCTTCTGTATCTTTGCCCAAGTAGCTGGCAGGTGTGCAGAATGCGCAGAACTCTGAGGCCTCCACGAGAGTCCTCTCCCCAAACTCACTTCGAGATGCAAATCTACACCTCTTGGGTAAGGTGATGGCAACAAGGATACTGGAATGGGCAGTTCTGAAGCCCACATCTATGCCCTGCCCTCTCAGCCACGGTGGCTGGTGGGTCCCTCAGGACAGATGCCTGACCCAGCCAGGCTGGCTGTGCGTTCTCCCAGGCTTTGGAGTCAGAACACACAGGCTGAAGGAATCCAGCTTCAAGGTGTGGGTGCTTTAGTTTCCTAGGGCTGCTATGACAGCCACAAACTTGGTGGCTTAAAGCAACAGAAATGTATTCTCCCACAAAGGTATTAGCAGGGCTATCCTCCCTCCGATGGCTCCAGGCAAGAATTCATCCTTGCCTCTTCCAGCTCCTGTTGGCTCTTGACAATCCTTGGCCGTTTGGCCATGAATTCTTTGCAGCTGCGCCACTGCCATCTCTGCTCTTGTCTTCACGTGGTCTCCTCTCTTGTGCCTTCATAGCCTTCTTCACGTGGCCTTTTTCTCTGTGTGTGTTTGTGTCCTCTCCTTTTCTTATAAGGACACCATTGGATTTAGGGCCCAACATAACCTCATCTTAAGTAAATTTATCTGCAAAGACCCTATTTCCAAATAAGGTTACATCCTGGGGTTCCAGGATGAATTTTGGGAGGGACACTACTCAGTCCACTACAGGGGCCCTTGTGGGGAGCAAGAGGGCAGACCTTGGCGGGCTGCAGCTCTGTGGGCATTATGGGGAACTGAGGAAGAGGGTGGTCAGGGAGAGGAGAGCAAAGAGAAGTGTTCTGAGCAGCCATTTGGTGACAAACCATGGATTCCCTTGTCTGCTTCCAATACCCCACCACTTGAGCTGGTTTGGGTGGGTTTCTGACCCCAGAAACCAAATGATGCCTAAAACAGCCTTTCACCCTCCCCATAAATCCACGGAATGTGCTGTTACACTGTCCAACTTTTTACAGAGATGTTATGAGCCATTTTGCTGGTGGCAAGATACTGCAGTGTCCATAACATGCTCAGGATACATTGTATCCATAACATGTTCTTGATTTTGTAACCACTGACTTTCCACTTCTCAGAAAGTGAGAGACATCTGGGAGGGGAATGAACAGAGCCCAGCTCCTCCCCCTGGGCTGGGTTCTGACTGCCTGGCAGCATTGCCCAGCTGGCTCTGGGAGAAAACTCCCCTACCCCAGAGGCTGTGGTCTTTTTCCACGGGGTTTCGCCCCTTCCTCCCACTCCCTTCCCCAGCCCCAGATGTGGGGCCCGCTACTCAAGGGAAGAGGCTGGACCCTGTTTGAACTTGGAAATGTCCACGTAACAGGGGGCTGAAAGGACAGCTGGATTCCACTTCCCCCTTTCCCAGGTGGCTGACATCAAACACCAGGCTCCCTCTCTAACTGGAACAGTTTTGGGAGCCAGGACCTGGCCCCATTCTAGTGGGGGCGGAAGACATCAGCACAGGGAGATGCTCGGGGTGCTGGCTGCGTCCAGCCAGAGCTGGGGTTTCCCCCATAGACGATGAGGCCACTTGGCGTCTGCCAGACAGGAAACCTAGGGAGGCCAGAAACAGAGGAGGAAGGCAGACAGTCCTGTTCCCCTGACGCAGACTGGAGTTTCTACACCTGGATGGAGACAGGCTGAGAGGCCACACACAGGAGCATGGTTTCTATTCACAGGGACATGCATGGCCACATCCAGACACACCCGGCCCACCCCCCATACCACTGTCTCTCTCTCTCTCTCTCTCTCTCTCTCTCTCACACACACACACACACACACACACACACACACTTTCCCTACCTTCACCAGCCACTGGCAACAGGTATGCCACCTCTCTCCTCAGGAAGAGCGGAAGATGCCATCAGGATGATCACCCTCTGCAGGGAGGAGGGTAAAGTCAGAGCCCATCAGTGCACAGTGGGTGACATGAGAGGGGACACTCTGCAGGACACTGCAGCTTCCCTCCTTCCTCTTCAGGCTGCCTGGGGCAGAAGGAACAAACTGGCTCCTGGGGGCAGGGAGGATGCGAGAACCGATCTGAAAGCTGCGGAGAGTTAGGTGTGCTTGGTGGCGAGTTAACACGTGGCTCTGGTACTTGGCATCCCACGTGCCTAGGATACCTCTTCCCTGCCCGTCCCAGAATCCAAGGCTCCTCTCCCCTCTGCACATTCCTTCCACCTCATCCAGGATGTGTCTCTCCTTTTTAATCAAGGGCCCATTTAGATCATTGAGAGCCATACAAAGTGTTAGGAATGTAGTTTCCCTGAAAGAGACAGAAATAAAAAGCTCTGAAACTGCTGGCTTTCTGGCACAAGCCCTGCACACTGCAGATGCGTGCCCTGCTGCTCAGAGACCACAGCCCCTGAAGCCAACTGGTAGTGGGATCAGCCCTAGGGTATGGCCTCCTGACTCCAAGCCAGCCCTTTGTCCCTGCCCCCTCCCCTCCCCTGGCTCCTTTCCTGAGAGTGCACAGCTGGGCCTCCCAGCACACAGGGCCACCTTCGGAAGTTCCACGCAGAAAGGCCCTTTGCCCAGACTCACTCTCTTCTCAATATCAACATCAGCATTGGCATTTTGTTTATCCCTGCACCACTAAAAAAGGTTACTGTCAAATGCACATGAGTTTCTGGGGCAGGGGTCTGTATTGACCCCTTCTGGGCCCCTGGCTAGAAGCATGACATGTCCAGGAGCCTGGACCAGGTAGATGTGCAGCCCCAGGTGAGGGCCTGGGAGAGAGTCAAGAAATCATGGAAACTGGACTCTGTAAAGCCTGGATGGACTTTCATTTGCTGAGAATGGTGCAGAAGCAACTTAAAAATTGTGTAGTGTTAGATGGGCTCACAACACAGACATATGCAAACCAGATGCAACCGTTATGCAAATTATATGCAAAACACACACATGGGCCTCCCAACTATTGCAAATGCCAGATGCAGCCAGTTTAGCTGAGCCTGGTTGTGGGGCAGAGATGAGCCTGGACTCTCCTTAGTGGGCAGGGAGGGTTTACCCCTAGGTGGTTCATATACTGGGGGAAGGAACCAGGCAGGAAGTGATTAGACCCAGGTTTGAATCCTAGCTCTTCCACTCACAAGTTGCCTGACCTCCTTGGAGTCACTTCACCCCTCTGAGCCTCTGTTTTCCCATCTGTAAAATGGTTATTATGAGGAAGCGATGAGGACATTGGCTAAAGCTCCCATCCGCATAGCCAGGCACATAGCACATGCTTGGTGAGTGGGGCAGGGCTCTGCAGAGTCCTTCCCTGGGGGTTGGATGTCTGGGCTCCTTCCCAGTCACTGCAGTGGCAACTGTGTCCTCTGAGGCCGTGGGTAGGACCTTTTCCCAGGGCAGCACGTGCAGCTGTGGGTTGGGGGAATGTCAGTGCTTGGATGGGCCAGGAATCCCTGTACTACTCACTTATTCAGAAATCTGTCAGAGGTCCTCTGGCCAGGGAGGTGTGGGGGATGCTGTCAGTACCCCACCCAGACCCCCTTCACCTGGCCAGTGCACCCACCCTTCCCCGGCGGCAGGTGTGGTGACCACGAATGCTCCCGGCTGCCCCTTCTGTGAATCGCCCTTGGCTGTGAGAGCCATCTCCCCTGGGAAGGTATGAACCTCCCACCCCACCTCGAGTGACTGATCCAGGGACACAAAGGGCAGTCTCCTTGCCTCAAGGGGGACAGCTGAGCAGTGTAGTTTGGGTGGCAGACGCCCCTGGATCAGGTCCCAAATAGACTCTATTCTCTGAATAGGCTCAGAGATCCGTTCTCGCTCTGCGCCTCTCTTCT